ATCTTTAATAAAAGGAGTCACCAAATATGTATTTCACGAGATAACCACCTGGAAAGATTAAATCAATATTCAATTTGGAGTCAGCTCCGGCCACTGGACAGAAAAGAAATTCACCCCTGATCATAAATAAGTCTGCAGACTGCCTAAATTGAAACCTTTTATCCCACCAGCTGCTGTTGCTTAAAATATCCAGCCTTCCAAGGTCCAGTTCGGACAGTATTTTGCCCATGAAATAGATCCCAGCTGTTTTGCTGAATCACATTTTCAAATCGAATCTCAGGCATGATCGAACCTGCTCTAGGTAATGACAAGGCCTCCCAGAAATGATGCCCATTTTCCAACCACTGCACATTACCATTAGCTTCTGGGAGGCATGAGCTGGCTCACGCATGATGTTCTCTGTGACATTCAAAACAATTCATTGGGCAAAGGCCATTTTAAATAAAGATGAACAGGCCCTAACATAGCTTTACCATGAGGAAAAACAGATAAAAGTCCCTCTATACTTCCATTTCTAAACTACTGATCCTACTAGCTACAGTTCAAGACCAGTATGACACAAAATTGGGCAGAGTGATTGTAATCTCCATTTACAGACACTTATATCACTCCAACAACACAACAAAACCTACTTATGTGGCTTGTCTACATCTCTACCCTAAACCATACTGGGCTTGTTCTTGAAACTCTGACCTCACCTCTTTTATCAAGCTAGCAGGCAAAAGTCAGAAATATTCTGGGGGATGCCCGACCACCATCTCCCAAAACAGTTGCTCTATTCCGAACTCAAGAACGGAAAATGGAATGTTGGCAGGCAGGAAAAGAGATTTAAAGATGGGCTCAAAGCCAACCTTAAAAACTCTGGCATAGACACTGAGAACTGGGAAGCCCTGGCCCTTGAGCGCTCCAGCTGGAGGTCAGCTGTGACCAGCAGTGCTGCAGAATTTGAAGAAGCACCAATGGAGGGCGAAAAAGAAATGTGCCAAGAGGAAGGCGCGTCAAGCCAACCCTGACCAGGACCACCTTCCACCTGGAAACCAATGCCCTCACTGTGGGTGAAGATGCAGATCAAGAATAGGGCTCGACAGTCACCTATGGACCCACCCCCAGGATACTACACTTGGAGGACCATCATCCTCGGACTATGAGGGATTGGCTAAGTAAGTCACTATAACTATGGGTTCCAGTGGTTTCTTTGGATTCCTTCTTCTTAGGGACATCCACCTTACTTCATGCAGATAAGGCAGTTGAAGATCAAAGACTTTTAACGGTTCTGGCCGAGCTTAACTGTCCAAACGTATCTCCCTCTATGAACCATCATGAGGGCTAAGATCTTCTGGGAGGGCCCTGATCTCAGTCCCACCTCTGTCGCAATTGTGGTTGGTGGGAATGAGAGACAGGGCCTTCTCATTGGTGGCTCCTCAGCTCTGGAATTCTCTCCCAAGTGAGATTAGATTAGTGCCCGCCATTCTGGTCTTCAGAAAGAAAACAAAGACACGGTTGTTGGACCAAGCCTTTGGCCAGAATAATTAGGGAATATGTACAATGACAATTGGAATGGCTATGGTTTACGATTTTGGATCTTGTGATTTTAATATTCATATTAGCATGTTTTAATGCTTTGTCTTAACGTTTAAATGTTATTTATGTCTTATGTTTAATGCTCTTATTGGTTTTAATTTATAGTTATATAATAGTAAAAGTAAAGGTTTTTCTGTGACATTAAGTCAGTCGTGTCCAACTCTGGGGGTGGTGCTCATTGCCATTTCTAAGCCAAAGAGCCAGTGTTGTCCATAGACACCTCCAAGGTCATGTGGCCAGCATGACTGCATGGAGTGCCATTACCTTCCTGCCGAAGCGGTACCTATTGATCAATTCACATTGGCATGTTTTTGAACTACTAGGTTGGCAGAAGCTGGGGCTGACAGCGGGAGCTCATACCGCTCCCCGGATTTGAACCTGCGACCTTTTGGTCAACAAGTTCAGCAACTCAGCATTTTAACCCGCAGGGCTCAAGGTGGCTCACACTCCACACTAAGTACAACTACACTGTAGGGTTAATGCAGTTTGGCACCATATTAACTGGCATGGCTCAATGCTATGGAATTTTGGGAGTTGTAGCTTTACAAGGTCTTTATCCTTCTCTGCCAAAGACAGCTGGTTTCCCAACAAACTACATGTTCCAGGACTCCATAGCATTGCCCCCATGTCAGTTAAAGTGGTGTCAAACTACATTCAGTCTAAAAAATAATGCAATTCAAAATGGGCTCTGCTGTGAACTTCCTAACACTGAAAGACATGTCTGCAAACATGCGGCTAGCACCTCTGCATCATGTATGCGAACACGTCTTTCCTTTTCTATACTGAGGTTTTCCCCAGGAGGCAAACCTCTCTGGCTTGATCTTGAGGCTAATGCACAGTGATGCTGCCCTTTGAGATCAAAATGAAGGCTGCGTGTGATGACAGAGAAGAATGAATTAACCCTGAAAGCCCTGGTGCCGAAAAGGAGGGAAGCACATTTGCTGACACAGAAGCAGACTGGACTGGATTCAAACTGCAGGAAAAGAAATTCCACCCACAGGTTAGGAAGATCTTCCCAAAGATAAGGACTGTTGACAGTGCTGCCTTAGAGTGTAGTGGAGTTTTCTTCTCTGGAGGTTATTTAGCTGGTTGGCTCTCTGTCGGGAATGCTTTGATTAGAAGAACTACCTGACAGTAAGAGCTGTTCAACAGTGGAACTCTCTGCCTCTGAGTAGTGGAAGGTCCTTTTCTGAAGGCTTTTAAACAGAGGCTGGATGGGTTGCTGTGAGTATTCCAGGCTGTATGGCCATGTTCCAGAAGCATTCTCTCCTGATGTTTCACCCACATCTGTGGCAGGCATCCTTAGAGGTTGTGAGGTCTACTGGAAACTAGGTAGGTGAGGTTTTTATACCTGTAAAATGTCCAGGGTGGGAGAAAGAACGCTTGTCCGTTTGAGGAAAGTGTGACTGTTGCAATTGGCCAGCTTGATTAGCATTGAATAGTCTTGCATCTTCAAAGCCTGGCTGCTTCCTGCCTGGGGGAATCCTTTGTCGGGAGGTGTTACCTAGCCCTGATTGTTTCCTGTCTGGAATTCCCCTGTTTTTTGAGAGTTGTTCTTTATTTACTGTCCTGATTTTAGAATTTTTTGTTCATTTTCATTTTTGCCTCCTTTCTATTCAAATTGTCCACTTGCTTGTGGATTTCAGTTCCTTCTCTGTGTAGTCTGACATGATGGTTGTTCAAGTGGTCCAGCATTTCTGTGTTTTCAAATAATATGCTGTGCCCAGGTTAGTTCATCAGGTGCTCTGCTATGGCTGACTTCTCTTGTTGAATTAGTCTGCAGTGCCTTTCATGTTCCTTGATTCGTGTTTGGGCAATGCTTCGTTTGGTGGTCCCTATGTAGACTTGTCCACAGTTGCACAGTATATGGCAGACTCCGGCTGAGGTGAGATGATCCCTCTTGTCCTTTGCTGAAAGTAGCATTTGTTGGATTTTCTTAGGGGGTGTGTCGATAGTTTGTAAGTTGTGTTTCTTCATCAGCTTCCCTATGGCTGGATGGCCATCTGCCAGGGGCACTTTGAATCTGCTTTTCCTGCACAGCAGAGGGTTGGACTAGATGATGCTTTGAATGCAATTTTTCTGCTTCTTGGCAAAGGGTTGGATGGCCCACAAGGTCTCTTCCAACTCCATGATTCTATATGATTCTATGGCCCTTGTGGTATCTTCCAACTCTATGATTTATCTTTCCCTGCATGGCAGAATGGGGTTGGTTTGGACGACCCTCGTGGTCTCTTCTAATTCTATGATAAATACCTAGGCATAGAGGCAGCAAGTGGAAGTCACAACAAAGGGCTGCTTCCCCACCTTCCAGTTTTAGACCAGGCATGGTTATAGGTTGTGTTTCTTCATAAATATGTGAGGGGAAGTCATAAGGAGGAGGGAGCAAGCTTGTTTTCTGCTTCCCTGGAGACGAGGACGTGGAACAATGGCTTCAAACTACAGGAAAGGAGATTCCACCTGAACATTAGGAAGAACTTCCTGACTGTGAGAGCTGTTCAGCAGTGGAACTCTCTGCCCCAGAGTATGGTGGAGGCTCCTTCTGTGGAGGCTTTTAAGCAGAGGCTGGATGGCCATCTGTCAGGGGTGCTTTGAATGTGATGTTCCTGCTTCTTGGTGAGGGGGGGGGATTGGACTGGATGGCCCATGAGGTCTCTTCCAATTCTATGATTCAAAGAACCTCCTGAGTGTGCGTGCTGTTCAGCAGTGGAACTCTCTGCCCCAGGGTGTGGTGGAGGCTCCTTCTTTGGAGACTTTAAAGCAGAGGCTGGGTGGCCATCTGTCAGGGGTGCTTTGAATGCGATTTTCCTGCTTCTTGGCAGGTGGTTGGACTGGATGGCTCATGAGGTCTCTTCCAACTCTATGATTCTATGATTCGAGGAACTTCCTGACTGTGAGCGCTGTTCAGCAGTAGAAGGTTTGGTGGAGACTCCTTCTTTGGAGACTTTAAAGCAGAGGCTGGATGGCCATCTGTCAGGGGTACTTTGAATGTGATGTTCCTGCTTCTTGAGGGGGGGTTGGACTGGATGGCTCATGAGGTCTCTTCCAATTCTATGATCTTTTGGGGGTGTTTTGAATACAGTTTTCTTGCTTCTTGGCAGGGGGTTGGACTGGATGCGCCACAAGGTCTCTTCCAACTCTATGATTCTACGATTCTATGGTCCTCCAGATGTTTTGGACTTCAACTCCCACCATTCCTAACAGCCTCAGGCCCTTTCCTTTCCCCCTCAGCCGCTTAAGGAAGTTGAAGTCCAAAACATTTGGAGAGCCAAAGTTTGCCCATGCCTGTTCCAGACAATGGTGGCGGGCTTCCTGAATTTTGCCTTGGATGGAGAAGACTTCCAACTCTCCTTGAAAACACACACTCACTCACACTCACAAGATGGCCATCAGCTGCTTCCTGGGAGAGGGATGAGCAAGGAAGGCATGGCTTGGCTGAGATTCTGGCGCTGCCCCTTTAAAAAACCCAAAGATGCTCCTGCCAGGATGCCAGCGACAAACAAGCTCCATCCAATGGCAGCCCACCCTCTCCATGAATGGCTCGGTGGGCGCCGGGGAGGAAGAGGCTGCGAGGGAAGGAAGGAGGGAAGGAGGAGGGCAGCAACAAGTGCGCGGGTGCGCAAGCAAGCGGAGAGTCCCCCACGCAAGACCAGCCCAGGGCGTGGCATGCCAGGGAGGGAGAGACAGCCAGCCTGCCTGCCTGCCTTTGCGCCTCAGTCCCCAAGAAACTTGGGCCAGTCCAGGAAGAGGGGCGCACTCAAGGTAATGCATCTTCTTCCTCCTCCTTGGATTTGCTGGAAAGGGGGATTGGGACGTGGAGGATGGGGAATGATGCTGGATGCTGGGTTGATCCAAAGCCCATCTTTGCCTGGAGCTCCATCTCCAAGGCTCCCTTTTGCAGCTAGGAAACTCTGGTGGGAAAGCGTAGGCGGGTGCTGCAGCCAGGCTGAGTGTCAGATTGACATCACCCTCATCTTCATCATCATCACCATTAGTGGTGTTGTTGTTGTGGTTGTTGTTATTTAGTTGTATCCCGCTTTGCTCTAATGGGGTTGAGGCACAAAGCATCTCACAGTTTTAAAAACCCCAATATAATTTAATATCCCCAGCGTATAAATATTAAAATAGAATTATAATGACTTATTTTGAGGACTATCCATCACCTTCTAGGGATGGAGACAAAATTCTGGAGGCAAAATCCAAGGAAAGGCTGACTGGCTGCTGTGAGTTTTCCGAGCTGCATGGCCATATTCCAGAAGCATTCTCTCCTTCCATTTCGTCTGCATCTATGGCAGGCATCCTCAGAGGCTACGAGGTCTGTTGGAAACTAGGAAAATTGGATTTACCTATCAGGAATGTCTAGGGTGGGAGAAAGAACTCTTGACTGTTTGAAGCAGGTGTGAATGTTGCAATTGGCCTCTTTGATTAACATTGAATGGCCTTGTAGCTTCAAAGCCTGACTCGTTGCTGCCTGAGGGAATCCTTTGTTGGGAGGTGTTGGTTGGCACTGATTGTTTCATGTCTGAAATTTCCCCCTTTTTTAGTGTTGTTCTTTATTTACTGTTCTGATTTTAGAGTTTTTTAAATACTGGTTGTCAGATTTTGTTCATTTTCATGGTTTCCTCCTTTCTGTTGAAATTGTTCACATGCTTGTGGATTTCAGTGGCTTCTCTGTGTGGTCTGACATGGTGGTTGTTAGAGTGGTCCAAGATTTCTGTGTTGTCAAATAATATGCTGAGTCCAGGTTGGTTCATCATATTATTTGAGAACATAGAAATGCAGGGTCAGGGGAATTCCAGACAAGAAACAATCAATGCCAACTAATCATTTTCCAACAAAGGATTCCCTCAGGTACTCAGCAGCCAGATCTTGAAACTGCAAGGCCATTAAATGCTAATCAAGGTGTCCAATTGAAACAGAACAGACAAGAGTTCTTTCTCCCACCCTGGACCTTCCACAGATCTATAAACTCAATTTTCCTAATTTCCAACAAACCTCACAACCTCTGAGGATGCCTGTCATAAATGTAGGCGAACCATCAGGAGAGAATGCTTCTGGAACATGGCCATTCAGCCCCAAAAACTCACAGCAACCCAGTGATTCTGGCCATGAAAACCTTCGACAATAGGCTGACTTGCTCTTTCGGTCTGGTGCTGCTTTCCAGCAGAGATGGCCCTTCAGCCTCATGACTCACAGACCTTGAATAGTAATAGCAAGAGAGGCAGCAGATGCTGCTAGGCATGGCATGACATGGCGGGTGGAAAAAGAGCTCAGAAGCTTGTCCTCGGTATAATTTCCTTGCCCGTCCCACAATTGGAGGTTCAAGGAGTTGCCAGGCTGGTGAAAGCATCATCGGAGGAGTCAAGGAGCTGGAGGGATTCCCCTGGCACCATGGAGAGGCACCCTCCTCCCTGCCTGCAAGGAGCTCCTCTCTGTGCCAACCAGCAGGCAAAAGGCTGGAGCATACGGCAGGGCTTCTATCGAAGCAATGCCAACATTTTGGATTTACACATCCCAAAACAAGGGGTGACTTCACATGATCATTTTCACGGGCATCCTTGTGCCAAAATCTTATACTATTCTTTCTCTTTCCCATCAGGAACAAAGGCAGTTGTCATTCTGTGAGTTGGGGCTAACTAAAGGGTTACTCAAAGAACAACTTTATTGTTATACCCCACCACCATCTCCTGAAAGGCTTAAATGGGGACCAAGCCCTGCATACAACAGAATTTACAAACTGAGACAGAATAAAAAACATAATAATATATAATACAACATAATCTAATTAAAACAATTAAAAAAACAGCCAAATATAAAACATAAAATATGTCAAATCAGTCTCAACAACCAGTGACCAGGAATATGGTAGGCATTATCAGATTGGAGAGGACAGGGCCATGATTTGTGCAAAATTTAAACTATAGAGCCAGGCTGAGGTAGGTAAAGTAAAGGTAAACATTTTCCCCTGTCCAGTCATGTCCAACTCTCGGGGATGGTGCTCATCTCAATTTCTAAGTCAAAGAGTCAGCGTTGTCCGTAGACACCTCCCAGGTCATGTGGCTGGCATGACTGAATGGAGTGCCGTTACCTTTCTGCCAAAGAGATACCTAATGATCTACTCACATTTGCATGTTTTCGAACTGCTAGGTTGGCAGAAACTGGGGCTCACAGTGGGAGTTCATGCTGCCCTTCCGGCTTTGAACCTGCGACCTTTCAGTCAGCAAGTTCAGCAGCTCAGTGCTTTAACCCACTGTGCCACCAGGGACTGGGGATACAGTACTGGATAAACCTTATCAGTAAATTAGGGCTGGGCATTTATGATCAGGGACTAACTGTTATTCAAATGCACACTGGAACATCCAGGTTTTCAAATCTCTGCGGAAGGCAGACAGAATGAGGACTAATTTAATATCTCTGAGAAGGGAGTTCTAGAGCTGGGGGGGGGGGGAGAGGGCACCACCAAAAGGCCATCTCTCTTGTCCCCACCAACCATATCTGAGACAGGGGTAGGAGCAAGAGAAGAGCTTCTCCAGAAGGCCTTAGAGATCATGCCAGTTCATAGGGAAAGATATGATCACAAAGATAGGCAGGTCCCAAACCATTTAGGGCTTTATAGGTGATAACCTGCACTTTGAATTGAGATCAGAAACCTATTGGCAACCAGTGGAGCTGCTTTAGTAGGGGTGTCGTCCACTCCCCATAACTAGCTCCAGTTAGCAACCTGGCTGCCGATCTTTGCACTAGTTGCAGTTTCCAGACCATCTTCAAAGGCAGCCCCACAGAGAGTGTGTTGTAGTAATGCAATCTAGATGTACCCAAGGCATGGACCACCATGGCCAACTCGGGCTTCTCAGGGTACGGTGCAGGTTTCGCACAAGTTTAAAGTGTGCAAAAGCCCTCCTGGCCACCACTAATACCTGAGCATCAATTGTCAGTACTGAGTACAGGAGGACCTCCAAGCTGCGGACCTGTGTCCTCAGGGGGAGTGTAACCCAATCGAGCACAGGTTGCCATCCTATGCCCCAATCAACCTCACGACTGACCTGGAGGAATTCCCGGTCTCCTCATCAGACTGTGATTCTCAGAGTTCTTTAAAGGAAACTATGGGTGCGTCTACATAATGCATGGGCAAACTTTGACCCTCCAGGTGTTTTGGACTTCAACTCCCACCATTCCTAACAGCCTCATGCCCTTTCCTTTTCTGCCTCAGCATCTTAAGCAGAAAGGAAAAGGCCTGAAGCTGTTAGGAATTGTGGGAGCTAAAATCCAAAACATCTGGAGGGACAAAGTTTGCCCATTCAGGGTCTTGTTTGCTTGTGCCAATTTACCTCTGCCAATTTTGTCCACATCATTTGGTATCACTGCATCATAATGAAGCAAGAACACGAACAGCAAGCACGTACATTGGGTGGGTTATTTTAAAATGTGTGAATACTTTGCCATTTTTAGTCTATGCAGCCAGGTAGATTTTTTTTATGTGTTTATGTATGCTCATTTTCTCAACAACTGTGTAGAGCTGGTGATATTTTTCCATAGTATGGTGGAGTCACCTTCGCTGCAGGTTTTTAAGAAGCAGGTTGGATGCCCATCTGTCGGGGATGCTTTGATTGTATTTTCCTGCATGGCAGGGGGTTGGACTCAATGGCCCTTGTGGTCTCTTTCAGTTCTTTGATTCCTTGATTGAAATTAGCACAACACAAATGCACTACCAAATGCAGTACAAGGATGAGAAGGAACCTATTTTCAGATTAACATTAGCTGCTCTCCCCTCAAAGAGCTACACACCTGCATTTTTAGGTTAACAAGCACATATTTGGAACTTCAAAGAGATAGAAAGCCAAATACTGGCAAGTGGAGAAATCTCCTTTCCTCCCACTCTCTCGCTATTTTAAAGCCAGGATGATATATTAGTCTCTTTGACATAGCTTGACACATGCCTTTGACTGCCATGGCTCCGTCCTATGGAATTCTGTGAGGCATAAGAGCTCTGTAATGTAATTCACAAGGTTTCACTTATAATTGATTTTAAAGTGTTATAATTATTTAGTTAGAGAGAATCTGCTAATAATTCTGGCTTTCCTTCTAATGTTCAGTAATGTGTTCCTGCAAATAATGCTCTTTTCGATCATTTTTACCCAGAGCTGTGATCTAAAAGCAGTTGTGCATCTGTCCCATACCCTCATTTGTATAATCTTCACCAGTGAGGTACTAGGAAGAGTTGAGCAAGGAACACCTTTGCCCCTTGTTTGTTCTTTCTCTCATTGCAGTTTCAGTCAGGAAGGGGAAAAAAGGCTTGCTAACTGTGTAGAGGAGCCCCCTGTGGTGCAGCGGGTTAAACTGCTGAGCTGCTGAACTTGCTGATCAAAAAGTCAGTGGTCCAAATCCGAGGAGCAGGGTGAGCTCCCGCTATTAGCCACTAGCAGTTCAAAAACATGAAAATGTGAGTAGATCAATAGGTGCTGCTCTGGCGGAAAGGTAACAGTGCTCCCTGCAGTCATGCTGGCCACATGACCTTGGAGGTATCTATGGACAATGCTGGCTCTTCAGCTTAGAAATAGAGATGAGTTCCAACCCCCAGAGTCGGACCCCACTAGACTTAATGTCAAGGGGAAAGCTAACTGTGTAATTATCAGGGCTTTGATATAGATATTATTTGCATGTCACATTTAGTTAACCCACAAGAAGAATATGACTAGATGTACTGACAAATTCATATGTATTTATACAGAGGTTGGAAAAGTTATTTTTGAAAACTAGCCATACTGCCTGAGGGTATTCTGAGATTGTCCAAAACAGGTAATTTGCCAAGCTAGGTATTCATTTTAAGGAAAGATAAAGCTGCTGTAAGACTGCTGTTGTTGTTCACTTTATTTATACCCTACCTTTCCCACAAAACCATCACAAAATAGCTTACAAATAAAAAAGCAAGACATTTAAAGCATATATAATATCAACACTGGAATATTTAAAAACAGTTGGAAGCATACAAATAAAAGGATAAGATACAGATTGAAAAAACAATACGATTAAACTAGAAACAGTACTATGCTCTCCTAAAACTGTTTCTTTAAAACCTTAAGGTTTCAAAAGCTCAATCAGTCTTTATTGGCTGATTTTGGATTTCCAGAGTCTGAGGGCAGTCCCTGAAAAGATCATCTATTATTACTATTATCATTATCATTATCATGCTTATCTTTATGTTTATTTATACCCCGCTTTTTCTCTCCACAAGGAGACTCAAAGTGGCTTACATTAAAAGCATTTTTATACAATTTAAAATCTACATGGTGGTTATATATCTATATCTATATCTATATAGATATAGATATCCTCTTTTAATATAGAACCAGCATAGTGTCCTGATTGGCTATGATTCTGAAAAACAAGGTTTGAATCTTTGCTTGGCCAAGAAAGCCCAGTGGGTCCCCTTGGGCAGGTCACACACTCTTAACCTTAGAAACCCCCATCATAGGGTCACCATGAGTTGGAAATTACTTGAATGCACAGAACAAAAACAATAGAAGCAATATGATTTTGAATACCAGTTGCTAGGGATCACAGCTGCTATTGCATTCACCTCCACAGAGAGCTAGACAGGGGAAGTGTGTCCTTATTGGTTCTCTTGGACATCTTAGCAGTTTTTGATATCATTGACCATGGTATCCTTCTGGGGCAGCTCTCCAGAATGGGTCTTGGGGGCATTGCACAGCAGTGGCTCTGCTCCTTCCTGGAGGACTGCACCCAGTTGGTGAAGCTGGGGGACTCCTGCTCTGGCTATTGACCTATGGAGTTCTGCAAGGTTCTATTCTATCTCACATGCTTCTTAACATCTACATGAGGTCATCCAGAGTTTTGGAGTTTGGTGCCATCTGTACACAGATGACTCTCAACTCTACTACTCCTTTCCACTGAATTCCAAGAAAGCTCCCTGGATCCTGAACCAGTGCCTGGCAGCCATGATGGATTGGATGAGGGCTAACAAGTTAAAGCTTAATCCAGACAAGTCAATCGTGAGGCAACCTGTGCTTGACGGGGTTACACTCCCCCTGAGGACACAGGTCCGCAGCTTGGAGGTCCTCCTGGACTCAGAACTGATGCTTGATGTCCAAGTGTCAGCGGTGGTTGGGGGGGGGGGGGCACTTGTGTGCCAGCTGTGACTATACCTCAAGAATCCCGACTTGGCCACGGTGGTCCATGCCTTGGTTATACCGAGATTGCAGTGCACTCTATGCGTGGCTGCCCTTGAAGAAGGCCCAGAAACTGCAATAGGTACAATGGTTGGCAGCCAAGTTTCTAACTAGAGGTAATTATAGGGAGTGCACGGCACCCCTATTAAAGCAGCTCCACTGGCTGTCGATAAGTTTCCAGTCCCAATTCAAGGTGCAGGTTATGACCTACAAAGCCCTAAATGGTTCAGGCCCTGCCTGTCTTTGTGATCGCATTTCCCCCTATGAACCAGTGCGGGCTCTAAGATCTACTGGGAAGGCTCTCCTCTGGTGGGGACGAGGGAGAAGGTCTTCTTGGTGGTTCCCCCCCCCCCCAATTTTGGAACAACCTCCCCAAGAAAATTAGACAGGCCCCCACACTGTCTTTCTTTCGTAGGGAACTGAAAACCTGGATGTTCCAGCAAGTTTTCATGAATGACTAGTCCCTAGGTCACCAGATAGTACTCTGTTCTGCACTTCATCCATTTCATCCACTTTCCCAGCCCTATGATACTCTGTTTGCACTATCTCTCACCCAGCCCTTTTATAGTTGATCAGATCCATTTTAGTACTCCTGCCCATTGGTACTGTTGAACCTCATCTGATGGCACTTTGATGAAATTGGTTTTGTATTTTTATTTTTAGTGTGTTTTATCAGGATTTTTGTATTTATGATGTTTGTTTGTTTTTTGCTATTTGTTTTTATGTTACAGTTAGATTGTTCTGTATTGTCTATTGTGGTTTGTCTTGATTTAAATTGTTTGTATGGTTTTCTTTTGGCATTGAATGTTTGCCATATTTGTTGGAAATCGCCCTGAGTCACTTCAGGGAGATAGGGCAGTCTATAAATAAAGTATTATTATTATTATTATTATTATTATTATTATTATTATCTACTTTGTGTGCTTTCTGTAGCCATCTGGTTGATATCTGTAGGAACACAATGCTACACAATGCTCTAGATAGGTCTTCAATCTAACTTTTCTTATTTTCTTCTGTTATGTTTATATTGTCTATCTCATAGAAATTCCTTGGCTATCTGTCCTTGCTTTGAAGGATAAGAAGAGTGAGTGTACCAGGCCTGGGTCTGTTGAGGAACGGTCACCAGATGTCTGAAGAAAGCACTGTGAGAATTCCCAATTCCGAAGGTTGTGAGAAAGCCTCATTTTCTTTGCCTTAGCAGCCATGCAGGACTGCAGATGCCTGACTGGATAACCAGCATGTTTCTGGCAGCTGAGGTATCTTGGCCCATGCTATGGTTCTACTTCCAAGCTCTCTTCTTCCTCCTCTTCTGTGTCCCTTCCTATTGTACTTCCTGCCCTGAGCAGTGTCAGTGTACCAACTCCTCAGAGGCAACAGCAGTTCTGTGCAGCGCCAGCAACCTGCAAGAGATCCCAAGAGATATTCCCAAAGACACCATGTTTCTAAAGCTGGACGCAAATAAAATCACTGCTGTTCCCAACAGCACGTTCCGGCACCTTGCCCACTTACAAGAGATAGACCTGTCTAAAAATGCCATTGAGAAGATCGATTCTGCAGCATTCAAGGGAGTTGCCGATGGCTTGAGGCTTCTGGATCTCTCTGGGAATCACATTCAGAGGATCCCAAAGGAAGCCCTGGTCAACTTGAATGCCATGATCCGCCTGTCCAACAACCCCTGGCATTGTGAATGTACTTTACAGGAAGTCTTGTGGGAAGTGAAACTAGACCCTGACTCGGTCAATGAGACCACCTGCCAAACATCTGTGCAAGAAGAATATACTGGGAAGCCTCTGCTCCATATCCTTGATTCCCGCTTTTGCAACATGCACCAGAAAACCACAGATGTTGCCATGTTTGTTACCATGTTCAGCTGGTTTACCTTGGTCATTAGCTATGTGGTCTACTATGTCCGGCATAACCAAGAGGACACAAGGAAGCACTTGGAGTACCTGAAATCACTGCCTAGCACAAGGGTTCCTAAAGAAACTATCAGCATGATCCTGTGATCCAGGAAGGGTGACTGGATTACAGAGTTTGTTTTCTTGGGTGGGACGTGGAACTTTGATTTCCTACTTGTTCTGTAAGAACTTTTCTACATGTTTAATAGCATGGGGAAAATTGTGTGTTAATATAAATGTAGAACGAATGTCCAAACCAAAGTTTCCCATATGGTGTACTAGGATACCAGCAGTGGCTCTATAAAGCTCTGTAAAGAGAGCTCTATAAAGAGATCTGCTATCCAGAACAACATTTTAACTCTAAGGTGCGGACACCATTAATGTGCAGTCAAGTTTTAATTTGGAGAGATCCAAAGGGCCCTGAGTGGAGTTACCGAAAGATACTAATGATCTCATGGTTGACTTTTGCTTGGAGCTACCACAAAAAAAAGCACTTCCAGGAGCATTCAGACCCACAGAACGGTCCTGCCTCCAAATTCATACATTTTGTTGGTGCGCATGCGTGCACATGTGTGCGCACACATGCACAGATTGATGTAGTGTTTAATAGGATGTTTGTGGAGCATGTGTGTTTATGGGTTGATATTCCTTGCCTTAGAAAACCCTATTTAATTAATAGGATTGCCATAAGTCAACAGGCAACTTGAAGGCACATACACAGAATGCTTCCCTTAATCTTACCTGCTACAGTGTCTCTGGAGCTAACACCTCTTTTTTTCTGTTGCTGATTTTTCTTCAATGTATTATTGTTACAATGGGACAAAAAAGTGCCAGAGAGGCCTATCTGTGCATATGTTACACTCTCTCCAGTGCTGAATAGGTTCCATCCTAGGAAGGTACCTGGGCACACTCCGAAGTGGAGGTTTTTCAAGTGGCCATATCCTTGGAGTACTTTGGCCATGGATTCCTGCATAGCATTGGGTTCAACTAGATTGGCCCATGGAGTTCCTTACAAGTCTATAATTCTATGATTGTATCCTTTTTTTGACATATTGCAAACTTATCCATTCCTTGAGTACTGGTCCTGGAATACAGCTGGAACCAGAGTCTAAGAAGGTGAAATGTGGTCCATACATATAGCTTTGAAAAACAGACGAATATAGCAATGACAACTTCTTTCCCACATATATTTTTTTTCAAAATTACCTAAATGACTGCTTTCTTCAGTTGAAAAAAATTGAAAAATAATAAAGATAATTTGCTGAACATGTAAGTACTTCAGGAAATGAAATATAATTCCAGAAAATTCATACCATTCATTGAAATAATCAAAAGTTCAGTGCCCAACAGTTTCATATGTATGATATCAAAGCTCATACTTTGCCATCATTCAGAAAATGATGGCCAGGGCTTGGAAATGGTTCAATTTTTAAGACTATAGTTTACAAAGCCAATGACCTACTTCTGATAGTAGTTGTTTTAACATATACCTTTCCTGAGCTATGGAAATGGACACAGTTCTATGTGTTTCTCCATTTTCATCACCTTTGTTAGGAGCTGCGGTGGCGCAATGGGTTAAACCCTTGTGCTGGCTGAACTACTGACCTGAAAGTCGGCGGTTCAAATCTGCAAGACAGGTTGAGCTCTGGTCTGTCAGCCCCAGCTTTCTATGCAGGGACATGAGAGAAGCCTTCCACAGGGCAATGTCTCTGCAGATGGTCAATTCTCTCACACCAGAAGTGACTTGCAGTTTCTCAAGTCACTTCTGACATGATTTAAAAAATCACCTTTGTTGTGAACTGGGGTTCCTTTCACACAACACAATTATAGCATAATGATTCCACTATAATTGCAGTGATTATATCCTAGGTCATTCTGGGATTTGCAGTTTAGGAAGGAGTGCGTAGTTTCTCGGCCAAAGATCACTAATGGCTCACTAAGCTAAATAGCCCAGGCTTCTATAGCCATGTTGTTAAATTGGAATCATACTGCTACAACTGTGTATTGTAAAAACTAGCCCTGCATGGCATCTAATTAACTACTGCTTTGATGTTTTTTGACAAGTCGTCAATAGAACTAAAAATTAGGGACAATCCTCCTAGATACTGAAAGAGAAAATAGATGGACACTAATGATCCTTTTTATCTTATATTATATTATAATATTTGTTATATTTATTATATTTTATAGTGGGGTGCACCACGCTATCGTTTGTAATGAGATTCATGTCTCCCCTATTGTGTGATCTATACAAAACAGGGAGGGAGGATGTGTGGTCTTCCAACTGTTGTTGGGAGTGCCACATCCATTAGCCTTTGCTATCATAGTAAATGGATGATGGGCATCACAGTCCAACCATTTCCAGAGGGCTATGTGTTCCCCATCCCACATGGTTTGTATATGACAGGCAACTGCTATTGATTTGCAATGAAATGGTAAAATACTGGCATCTCTTTTTGAACTCTGTATCACACATACACACATACATACATACTGTATATACAGTATAGTGAGTGCTGGGCTACAAAACCAGAGTCTGAAACCCTGCTCAGCCATGAAAACCCATTGGGTGACCTTGGACAGATCATATAGTCCTAGCCTTAGAGAAATGCAATTTCCCCCGATCTCCCTAGTGGCTATGCATTCATTGACTATATTTCCATAGTAGTGGAGTGGTTATCTGTACTGCTTTTTTAATAAGCCTAAAAAGAAAAACCACCCATTTCAGGAATGTTTTCTTCATTATTCCTAAAGATGGAGGGGAAACATTCCTTGGCTGCAGTGATATTAAAAAAGAAGACCAAAACAAATACAGCCCTTAGCTGCAGGAATGCAGTCTACTAGACATGATGCAAAAAGAAAAGGAGACAATGAGGGAACAGAAGAGCCAGAAAATCCAGACACTCATTTTTCACACATGGCATATTTATGGCATGGAGATGGTATTATACTGCCTCACTGTTCCTGCTTAGGAGTGAGGAAAAGCTGCTCGCTGCTGCAAATTTAACTCCTCTTCCCACTGTACATCTTTCTGTGGTACACACTCCTGCATTGCCCTCTGCTGGGCTTCCTAACAAAAAGAAATCCTTTTTTAGCCTTGGTTGAGCCAATGGAAGAGTGTTGGTTAAATCCAGCTGCAATAAGCTGCAATATTTTGTTGGTTTGAGGTGATCTCATGTTCTAGCTCCAAAAACAAGACAGAACATTATTCTGTAATATAAAAAACAGGAATTTTTTAGAGCATGAATATGGCAGAGAGAGAGAGACATCTACAGAAAAAAGGTGCAAGGGAACACTGATGCACCAAAATGTACATGGCCAGGAAAATTGCATGGCATCCTGAAAATGAAGAAACCACTGGATACTTTGGCATTCTCGTATTTTTCTCATTCATATGGCCTGCAGCCATCATGGCAATGTCACCCAAATTACTGTAGAGAATAGACCTTTTTTCCCCATCTCTAGCTCTCAACAAAAGCATTTTCTTCTCTAGCGATCAACAAAATCAAACCACCAATGTGGTATTCGAGAAATTGTAGGATTGTGTGTAAAAATGGACTACAGTTACTGAGAGCGAGCGAGCAAGAGCATGCTACAGTGTTTGCCCAACCATGAAAATCTACTCTGTGACCTTGGACAAGCCACAATTCCTCAGCCTCAGTGAAAGGTAAAGGCAAAACACTTCGAAGTTCAAGTTCATTTTATTACGGTCAGTGACCAGTTCAAGAGACCCTTTGAAGAAATCTTACCAAGAAAACCCTGTGACAGGGTTGCCTTAGGGTTGCCATAAGTCAGAAATGACTTGAAGGCACACAACAACCATTACTGGGCCATGAAGGCCAACCCAAGTGTCCCTTCTATGCTCCTTGATACTGTTCCTGCTTTGGTTACTATTGCTTGTTCCAAGCATACAAAGCCTGGACTAGGGTTTGTAACCCCTTTGTCTGTTCTAGCAGGCTTCTCGTGTTTTTCAGTTTATGTCCTCATGCTTTTTAAAACATAAATGTGAATGTGACTTAGGTGTCCTCTTGAACAGTGTTTCTCAACCTTCCTAATGCCATGACCCCTTAATACAGTTCCTTATGTTGTGGTGACCCCCAACCATAAAATTATTTTGTTGCTACTTCATAACTGTACTTTTGCTACTCTTATGAATTGTAATATAAATATATGATATGCAGGATGTATTTTCATTCACTGGATCAAATTTGGCACAAATACCTGATACACCCAAATTTGAATGCTGGCGGGGTTGGGGATATTGTCATTTGGGAGTTGTAGTTGCTGGGATTTGTAGCCTACAATCAAAAAGCATTCTGAACTCCATCAACGATGGAATTGAACCAAACTTGGCACACAGAACTCCCATGACCAACAGAATATACTGGATGGGTTTGGTGGGCATTGATCTTGAGTTTTGGAATTGTAGTTCATCTACATCCAAAGAGCACTGTGGATTCAAAGAGTGATGGATCTGGACCAAGCTTGGCATGAATACTCAATATGCCCAAATGTGAACACAGGTGGAGTTTGGGGAAAATAGACCTTGACATTTGAGAGTTGTTTCTGCTAGGATTTATAGTTCACCTACAATCAAAGAGCATTCTAAACCCAACCAACAAGAGAATTGGGCCAAACTTCCCATGCAGAACTCCCATGACCAACAGAAAATACTGTGTTCTCTGATGGTCTTTGGGGACCCCCTCCCAGAGGTCCAGAACCCCAGGTTGAGAAATGCTGCTCTAGAACCATGTAAGTGTTTGGGGTATATGTGTCTGTTTTTGCCAAAAGGTGCTGCATTTCCCCTTTTTATTTCCAGTGAGATGATGTTGAATAAGACCTGAAACAGAACTCAACCACTGGGATGGTGCAAGTCATTCTGCTAGTTTTATTGGGGATTATATTCATTGTTGCAAATGTTCTCTGAATAATAAATAATTCTATCTCCATACAGTATAACAAAGGTGATTGTCAACACTATCAGTTTATACAATAAAAACATACAATTTATAGACAATGTTGAAATAATTTGCAACAACCAGCAGAAACTACACTTTGGGGGCAAATAAGAGAAAATAAGGATGAAAAAATAATGATGGAGTGGCGGATACTACAGAGATATCAAAAGCCCATTTGGCAAGAGAGCAATGGCTTTCCAAATGCCCATCCAGAACTATTGTTTTCTTAAAACACAAATGGTCATTGTACAGTGCTACAGATGTTGTTGGGCTGCAATTCCTAGACAGCATAGCCAATCGTATGAAATGCTAGGAATTACACTCCAGCAACAGTTAGAAGATCACATTTTGCATGGCCCTGCCTTGAAACTTTCAGTTTTATGCAGCTTTCAGTTCTTCATAATTATGCTACCTACACAGAGGTTTCAAGCACTGGTTGTAGGCCATGGGTCTAACCCATAGGATGGTGACCTTAACTCTAATATAAGTCCAGACTACAATCCTGATTCAATTGGAGTTAACCCTTGTGTTGGCTTACTATCAATCAATTTATTTAATGATTCCATTTTAACAGAAAGGAGGAAACCATGCAAATGAACAAAATCTGGCTAGCAGTATTTAAAAACTCTCAAATCAGGACAGTAAATAAAGAACACTCTGTAAATGGGAAATCCAGGCATAAAACAATCAAGGCTAACATCTCCCAACAAAGGATTCCTCCAGGCAGGAATCAGGCCTTGAAGCTGCAAGGCTTTACAATGCTACTTAAGGTGATTAATTGCAACATTCACACTTTCCTGCAACAGACAAGAGTTCTTTACCCCACCCTGGACCTTCAACAGATATATAAACCTCCCTTGTCTAGTTTCTAGTATATCAGACAACCTCTGAGGATGCCTGCCAAAGAGGTGGGTGAAACATCAGGAGAGAATGCT